CAAACAAACTGACAAACCTAACAACATCGACGTTAACAAGAATCCGAATGACAAAATAATAATAACTAATATGATAACTTTCACGGACCCTAGCATCTCGTACAACCCATGGCGGTGGTTCATGAGGTGGCCGTACCACTGGTACCACTCTAATTGATCCTCCATCGTCGATCGAAATCTGGCCTACTCGAAACCCGTGCAACTCTCCTCGTCCCTCACTCGTAGCAAAATCACCGCTAGCGGTCATCTTCCTCGCTGCCAAGCCCTATGATGTATTCATCTATCCTTGCTACCCTGCCTTGCTACTTTGCGGTGCCCTAAAACAAGACCCTCGTGGCCGCAACCCTCGTGGCCGAAGGAGAGATAACTTGCAACCCTCGTGCCGCAAACCCTCGTGGCCGCAACCCTCGTGGGAGACGGTAACTTGCAAAAGAAGAGAAAGAACAACACAAGCAGCAACCTTCGTGGCCGAAGGAGAAGAATTGTTGCACCAACCTAAGCCGAAGCTAGGCGGCGGAAAAACAAACCCTAGAGAGAGGGAGTTGTCCACTTGTCAAGAAAAAATTTGTTAAATAGTACTCTCTCTGTCCCATTTTATCCATTTTATAAGATATCTTTACTATTCACTCGGTCAACACAAATCACTCTTAATCTTTTACTTTATATATCAAAATTTTATGAAATTTGAATTATTTTTTGTAGGTTTTGTAGCGGTTTTAATGTAGATTCTAAATATGTAGTTTGTTTTTTCTAAAAATAATTTGAGTGCAGACAGGGATCCGTTTGCTTTAACGTCGGTCAAACATCGTACGTAAACCGAAAAGTATCTTATAATTCGGGACGGAGGGAGTAAAACATATCTCAATGGCTCAATTTAGTATGATTATAATTTGATAACTATCCATCCGTTTCAAATTGAACAGAACTAAAACTGAAAAAACAAATCAAATTCCATATGCGTCCTATCAATCAAAACTCTCCTCGTCCCTCACTCGTAGCAAAATCACCGCTAGCGGTCATCTATTCCTCGCTGCCAAGCCCTATGATGCATTCATCTATCCTTGCTACCCTGCCTTGCTACTTTGCGGTGCCCTAAAACAAGACCCTCGTGGCCGCAACCCTCGTGGCCGAAGGAGAGATAACTTGCAACCCTCGTGCCGCAAACCCTCGTGGCCGCAACCCTCGTGGGAGACGGTAACTTGCAAAAGAAGAGAAAGAACAACACAAGCAGCAACCTTCGTGGCCGAAGGAGAAGAATTGTTGCACCAACCTAAGCCGAAGCTAGGCGGCGGAAAAACAAACCCTAGAGAGAGAGGGAGTTGTCCACTTGTCAAGAAAAAATTTGTTAAATAGTACTCTGATCTCTCTGTCCCATTTTATCCATTTTATAAGATATCTTTACTATTCACTCGGTCAACACAAATCACTCTTAATCTTTTACTTTATATATCAAAATTTTATGAAATTTGAATTATTTTTTGTAGGTTTTGTAGCGGTTTTAATGTAGATTCTAAATATGTAGTTTGTTTTTTCTAAAAATAATTTGAGTGCAGACAGGGATCCGTTTGCTTTAACGTCGGTCAAACATCGTACGTAAACCGAAAAGTATCTTATAACTATCCATCCGTTTCAAATTGAACAGAACTAAAACTGAAAAAACAAATCAAATTCCATATGCGTCCTATCAATCAAAATTGTTAAACTATTTTACGATTCTACATTAATAAATCGATTCAAATCGCATGTAAATCGTAAATTCATATAATCGTAAAAACATCTTACAAATTTTGGCAAGGATTTTTTTTTGTGAAAATGGTTCAAGTTTATTAAAATTAACTACTAGAAATTGATACATAATTCCAATAACTACATTAACTACTAATGTACGCATGGCGGTATATTAGGGTGCGCCAATACAAATATATTTTTGGGAAATCTTTACCCGGTTCTTTTACCCTAATAATTTAATTGAAATTCAAATTTGGGGCCGGGTGAGCCCTAACCTAGATTGCCCTCTAGCTACGGCCTAGATCTACGGCCACCGCATCGCCAGTCTCTGCACCGCCTCTGTCATACCTCTCCACCGTTCTTATCTAACGGTCCCGTCTCTGCCATTGCAGTTGCTCCGTATCCACCATTCTTCCCTAACCCCCACCGCAATATGCCGCCATCATCGTAGCCGTTAGGGGTGGGCATATCGGTTTTCGGTTCGATTTTGGTCGCTTGCGGTTTTGTTTGGTTTGGAACGGCTTGGGAGAAATGGTACCAAATACAAATTATACAATTTTTCGATTTGGTTCACTTCAGTTTAGATAGGATTTCTTCCGTTAGGGCTGGGCATACCTGACCATATACATTCTGGTTTGAGTTTCGTGGTATTTCTCCAAAATTGTATCAAACCGAACCGAACTGGAACCGATAAAAACCGAACAAAACCAAACCGAACTAAAGAAATTCAATAAAACCTTCATATATTATTAAAAAAACAAAAATTCAAACTGAACAAAACCGAACCAAACCGAACAGAACCAAACCGAAGAATAATATGGTTTTTTTCATAATATTTCTTCCAACCCCTTCCAAACCGAATCGCACCCGATACAACCGAACCGAAAACCGATATGTCCACCCCTAAGTGTTACTATAAGTGGGATAACAATGCAACTATCGTTGGCCGGCAGTGGTCACTAGCGACACTTGGGACACCAACAAAGGCGGGTCACATATAGTATGTGAGCGGCGGCGGCGGCGGCGGCGGCGGCGGCGGCGGAGGATCACAGTCAGTGGTGGCGGTGGAGGATTACAATTAGTGGTGAGTCACTGCAGCCGCATTCCATTGGAGCATGTCATTGCGGCAGGAGTGAGTGCGTAAATGTCCTATTAGTCACTTTTTTTGAAAAAATTATTATAAATATGATCATATTTTTAGCCTTGACTTTTCCTTTAATATTTTTTTTGACAAAACAACTGAGATTATTTATTGCAGCTAAGCTTGATGGTTAATGAGAGAACCCCTAATAATTAAGAAAAATCTTATTAGATTTTATTTTGCCCTACTAATTTAGTTATGTCTCTCCTCTATTATATTCGGTCTTAGTTTTGGGCGGAACTAACAAATTAATGCGGTTAGAGCATTGTTATATGTAAAAGTTACTGCATTAATCAGACCCATTTTGGAGCTTAATGTGCATTAAGCTCCTTAAATAATTTGAAAAATGGCAGAGGTACACCCCGAGTTACACCCTATATATAAACCTTGAAATTTACCATGTTTTTATTTCACCCCCCATCTTTGGTTTGTACAATTCTCTCATCCCCTCTTTCACACCCCCCCCCCCTCTCTCTCTCTCTCTCTCTCTCTCTCTCTCTCTCTCTCTCTCTCTCTCTCTCTCTCTCTCTCTCTCTCTCTCTCCCTCCCTCTGTAACACCGTCCCCAAATGTATTTACTTTTATGTGAATATTATATTTTAACCTTATGGAATGGTTAAAGAAATTATGATGTTACGAATTTTTATTAATTCTTTCGCACGAATAGTAAATTCGCACGTGAGGCCCGCCCGGAAGCGGGGGCCGCCCGATATTCCCGGGACCACATAAATTATTCATCTTAGTCTAGATAATAATTATATGGTGGTGGATAATTCATTTGAACCATGGAAAGGTCCAGAGTTGACCGATTGGTCAAGAGAGGCCCAAATACCGGTATTGACGATTTTACCGATAAATGTCCGAAATTGAATTTCGGGGACTTATAAATTAAAGTTGGGGAATGAATATTCATTATAAGGTTCATGTTGGTTAAAGAGCATGTAAAATATTTTATTTGACCCGATAAAATAAAATATAACAAAAACTGTCCGAAAAATACAACTTTCGGGACCGATTGTACACTTCGGGACAAAAGGGGTTGACCTCCCACATGAGTGGGGGCCAACCCACGATTTTGGCCACAAAATGGAGGCTGATTTGTCTCAAACAAGGTCTGAAAACCTTGAGATGATGGGGGAGACCATTTTGACATCCTAAGGACCCCATCCTCACTCATTTGGCAAGAAAGCCAAAAAGAAAATCTCACCCCTCTCTCCCTCACCCCCCATCTCGGCCAGCACCCAAGAAAGAAGCAAGAGTAATTTTCCATCCTCCATTCTCCATCTTTGAAGAGAGCTCAAGCTTAAGGAGTCCAAAAGGAGGTCTTTGAGAAGGAAAAAGTGAGGAGAAAGTGAGAAGGGTTAAGGTAAAGACCTTATATTAACTTTTCCTTTATTTTTCTTCTATCATATGAGATATATATCATATGAAGACCCTTGAGAATGGTTCTACATGATTAAGTGTAGAATGATGGGTTGGAAAGTGGTTCTAGGTCCAAGAACGGATTTAGAAGTCAAAACGACCGGTTTACCGGAAAATAACCTTAGAGGTTATTTGTATTGATTAAGGTTTTATGATGTTAAAACCTTGTTAGGGACTTGACTTAAGCATTTTTGAACCTCGCCGGAGTTTCGCCGGAGTTGGTCAAAGTTCACCGGAGTTGGTCAAAGTTCCACCGGGAAGCGGAGAACGCGCTTAAGCTCACTCGAGGTGAGGATGACCGACTATATTGCTTATAATTATTGGGTTAATTTCATAAGATTACCTAAATGAATTATATGTGTTTGGCATGATGTATTTATAATAATAAAATGCCTAAATGAGATTTTTATTGTTCATAAGCAAAAATGCATAATATACAAATTTATGAATAAATTGTGTATGATTATGTGTTATGAATACAATGGTATAATAGTTGTGTAAACTATAAACTAAATTGTGATAAATATACTTTTACCTCATGTAAGGAAGTCATGGAAGGATAAAAGTGATATTTTGATATTAGAGCCAAGTTATACTTGAATGTGGAATTTAATTGAGATATTCAAATTATTATGAACTTAAGTTACATTTGGAGTAGGCCTTAAGGGTTACTCAAAATGGATGGAACCTAGACTAAGAAGTGGTTTAGGGATTAGTTGACGTGACTATGAGCCGAGCTCTAGCACGTGGTAGCATGACTATGAGCCGAGCTCTAGCAAACGTAGGGTGACTATGAGCCGAGCTCTAGCACAAATTAGTATGACTATGAGCCGAGCTCTAGCAAACGTAGGGTGACTATGAGCCGAGCTCTAGCACAATTTTAGTATATATGACTATGAGCCGAGCTCTAGCGAATGTAGTGTGACTATGAGCCGAGCTCTAGCACAATTTAGCATGACTATGAGCCGAGCTCTAGCATGAAGGAACATGAGTTAAGTACAAATGAATAACATCTTGGATTGAGGGTCTTGGAAATTGAAACTTTGATTATACTTAGTATAGTTGTCATTGTACTTGTCAAATGCTTCCAAGTACTGACCTCCCCTTCACGGGGGAGGCCACCTCACAGTTTCAGGTAGGGAGTAGAGCTTGCTACTACCGCTCGTTGCTTCGGGGAATTCAAGGAGGAAGGCGGGGTTCGTACTTCTCCTGTTTCTGTTTTGAAAACAATTTAAATAATGCTCATGGATATTATTTCGAATATTTATTTGGGGGCTTGTATGCCCGTGGTTGCCACGTGTGGCTTGAATATTTGTAATTATGTTTCCGCTGCTTAATTAAATATTTTACGTTATGATTGTTTATGGATGTACTATGTGTGAATGGTATTCAAGACGCCTAGTATAGTATGGATGAGTTGGACTGCGGTTGACTATTCGTACTGTACGGCGGGTTGTTGACGTGTCCGGTAGGTCCGGGGCGTGACAATTTAATTGGTATCAGAGACTTAGTCCGTAAACTTCATAATGAAGCTTCAAAATCTCTTTTTGAAAAAACGAATTTGAAACCCATGAGCATAAAGTTTTGTACTTATAGAACTTTTGGTACTTGAGTTGCAAGGTCTCTAATTGTTAAGATGGTACCCTTAACAATTGGTATGACGGTGATTTGAGCCAAAAGATGTCTTTAAGTACCTATCCGTCACTTGACATTTGATACGAGTCTAATGGCTCATTCTAAACTTCTTTCAGAAATGGAACGTACCGGTAGAATTACTCGACGGAACCCGACTGGCCAGGCACTGGGAGGATCCCAACGTGGCAGTCGGGGGGGATCAAGAGAGTCTAGGGGACAGGGCCGTGCAGGCCATTCGTTGACCGTGAGTGACGGTCACGTGGAAACAATAGATGAACACTATGAGTCCGAGGAGGATTCAACTTACCAACCGGGAACTGAGCCGGTTGAGACCCCATATGATGGGGAACACGACGATGTTAGTGATGAGAGTGATGATAATATCGCTCTTGAACGGATTGAGGAATTGCTCCGGCAATACCAACAAGATCGCCAAAGGCGCCGGGCAAGGCGTGCTTTGGAAGGGGCTTCGAGGAGAGGAAGCCGCGCGACTCCTAGGGAGAGCATTGAACTCCGAGGAGGTCGAGGTGCTGAGGTTCCTATCATAAGAATCTCAAAGTACCTAAAGGAGGCGAGAGACTTGGGATGTAAACCGTTTGATGGAACGGGAGACATCTCCGTGGCGGCCGAGTGGATCAAGAGATTCAATGAAGCGGCCCTTGACATGCAACTGCCACCCCACATGAAGATGAGAGTGGCAACAAGATTGCTTGAAGGCATGGCGTCCACGTGGTGGGACGGAGTCAAAGGGAAGTACGGCGAGGCCGTCACTTGGGAGAACTTTAGGCAAGAATTCTTTAGCCAATACTACTCCGACTTCGAGGTGAACTTGAAGAGGAGGGAGTACACGAATTTGACCCAAGGAGGGGAATGCACGGTGAAGGAACTTGAGCACAAGTTCAGGAAACTTGCTGAGTTCATACCGGAGTACATTTGTGACGAAAACCGGATGGTGAACCATTTCTGGGATGCCTTAGACCTTGACATACGCGAGAGGGCAACACAATTGCCTAATATGACGTTTAGTCAAGTGGTTGAACAAGGCTTGAAGGGAGAAAAAGAGTGGGAGGAAAGAAAGCGAAGGAACGCCGAAGAGGCGAAGAAGAGGAAATGGGAGAACCATGGCCCCCAAGGTTCTAACAAAAAGGGGAACCACGGGGGAGGGGGATCGTTCAGAGCGCCGGCACCGCCATCCAAGGGAAACTCGGCCTTCGGCGGGCACAACTCGGGCTCACAAGCCTCAACGGCGCCCAGGTGCAGAAATTGCAACCGGAGCCACGCCGGTAAGTGTCGTGATCCACCACGGTGTTACCAATGTGGGGACACGGGGCATATTAAGCCAAATTGCCCTCAACTTGGTAGGAACCGAGGAGCGGGATCAAGCGGCGCTACTACGGCAAGTAGGAGCCGAACCGGAGCACCTCATGCTAGTACGGGCCAAGGGGGAGCAAGCACGAGCAATGCGCCGTCCGTTAACCAAGGAAGGACCCAAGCAAGGGTCTACGCAATGACGGAGGCGGATGCCCGAGCTAACCCAGATTCGGTTGCAGGTATGACCGCTTAACTTCCCGTATTTTACCCATTCCTCATCCATAAATTGAAGTTATAAATCCTAGAATCCAGGCGGGAGCGGACGTAAGATTGAAATGGGAAAGGAGAGCAAAACCATGCTACTACCCGACCGGGTAGGGCAATAAACCCGACCGGGTAGGACAAGTTTTTGCCCTCGTAAACCTTCTGGATCGCATACCCGATCGGGTTTGGTAATGAACCCGACCGGGTAGGACAAGTTTTTGCACTCATAAGTCCACTGGAACACATACCCGACCGGGTATGGTGGTATACCCGACCGGGTTTGTCAAAAATTTCTTCCCGACACCCACTGGAACACATACCCGACCGGGTATGGTGTTATACCCGACCGGGTTTGTCAAAAAAATTCTGCCCGAACCCACTGGAACCTATACCCGACCGGGTATAGTATGTTACCCGACCGGGTACACCTCGAAGTGTTCGTCAAATGAAAAAGTTGTCTTCATGAAAGTTGTAGATATTTTCATTGTCTAAATGATGGAATTTGAATCGAACGATTTGGTTAAGTATGTGAAGAGATATGATCAAAACGGTGAGACAGTGTCAATTTATATCTCAACTGCGAACGTTAACCATAATTGGGGGACTTTGCCCACTTTAAGGACATAATTTCGCATTATGTTCTTCGTAGGATTGGTCGGTATGTTAGAGAGGTATCTTACATGGCTTATAAATGTAGGAACACTAAAGATTAATGGGAGATGTGCGAGAATCCTCATCGATACCGGGGCGCAACGATCATTTGTGAGTGAGGCATTCGCCGGGGGATTCAACGTACCCCTGGTACCGATGACTCAAGCCCTATTGGTATCCACACCCCTAGGGGAAGACATCGAGAGAGATAGCCACTATCCATCGTGTGAGGTGGAAGTGGAGGGCCAAAACTTGTCGTGTGATTTCGTGCCGCTGAGTATGATTGAGTTCGATGCAATCCTGGGGATGGATTGGCTTGAGAAGCATCATGCTAGGGTCGATTGTTACACGAAAGTACTTGAACTCGAAGGCAATGAAGGGGTGACCCTACGCTTCGAGGGGGATAGGGCAAAATCCAATAGTTGTATCATATCCGCTGTGAGGGCTAAGAATATGATGAGGAAGGGATGTCACGCATATCTAGCGTATGTGGTGGACAAAACCAAAGAAGAGACGAGCATTGATGATGTTAGGGTAGTATGCAAGTATCGGGACGTCTTTCCAAAAGACTTACCGGGACTTCCACCCGATAGGGAGATTGAGTTCGTGATCGAAGTCGAGCCCGGCACCAAACCAATCTCCATACCGCCATACCGTATGGCACCCGCTGAACTTAACGAGTTAAAAACCCAATTGCAAGAGCTTTTGGATAACGGTTTCATTAGACCAAGCCACTCCCCGTGGGGAGCACCAGTCCTTTTTGTGAAAAAGAAGGATGGAACACTTCGAATGTGCATTGACTATCGTCAACTGAACAAGGTCACAATCAAGAATAGGTATCCCTTGCCTAGGATTGATGACTTGTTTGATCAACTACGAGGAGCAACCGTGTTTTCAAAGATTGACTTGAGGTCGGGGTACCATCAATTGAAGATTAAGGAGGATGACATACCGAAGAGTGCTTTCCGCACGAGGTATGGGCATTTTGAGTTCCTTGTTATGTCGTTTGGGTTAACAAACGCCCCGGCGGCATTCATGGACTTGATGAACCGAGTATTTCACAAATACTTGGACCGATTCGTGATTGTGTTCATTGATGACATCTTGATCTACTCAAAGAGTGAGGAAGAGCATAAGGAGCACTTGACACTCGTTCTTGAGACACTACGGGAGAAGCAACTCTATGCTAAATTTTCTAAATGTGAATTTTGGCTTAAGGAGATTGGTTTTCTCGGGCATGTGGTTTCGGGATCGGGAATTGCTGTTGATAACAAGAAGATAGAAGCCATCACCGAATGGGAGAGGCCAAAGAACGTCAAGGAAATTCGTAGTTTCCTTGGATTGGCAGGATACTATAGAAAGTTCGTGGAGAAGTTCTCTGTTTTGGCATCACCGTTGACGAAGCTCACTCGAAAAGGAGCTAAGTTTGTATGGGATGACAAATGTGAGAAAGGATTCACTGAACTGAAGAAGAAATTGACCGAGGCACCGGTACTTGCATTACCCAAACAGGGTATGGGGTACGATGTCTATAGCGACGCGAGCATCCAAGGGCTTGGATGTGTGTTAATGCAGGAGGGGAGGGTAATTGCCTATGCTTCACGACAGTTGAAGAAGCATGAGGTAAATTACCCCACCCATGATCTAGAGTTGGGAGCAGTGGTGTTCGCACTGAAGATTTGGAGACATTATCTCTACGGAGAAACATGTCACATATACACTGACCATAAGAGCTTGAAGTACGTGTTTACTCAGAAAGAGTTAAACATGAGGCAGAGACGGTGGATGGAGTTGATAAAGGACTACCATCTAGTGATTGAGTACCATCCAGGCAAGGCAAATGTGGTGGCAGATGCTTTGAGCCGGAAGAGCTCATCTGGGGCATTGATAGCTAATTTGAGGGCATTAAGAGCCCAACTGGAGGTGTCCAGTAATGGTGCCTTATTGGCACGGTTTGAGGTGAGACCTACTTTGCTTGATGAGATCAAGAAGGGTCAGGAAACTGACGATGAAATTATGAAGATCAGGGAACGCATGCAAGCGGGACCGGTGGAAGACTTCAGGGAAAGAGACGACGGTCTTTTATTATTTCGCGACCGAGTGTGTGTGCCGGCAGATGATGGGCTCCGAAAGTCCATCTTAGAGGAAGCTCATTCATCGGCTTATGCCATGCACCCGGGGGGCACGAAGATGTATCGCGATTTGAAAGAAAGTTACTGGTGGTCCGGTATGAAGAGAGAGATAGCCGAGTACATCAGTCGGTGCCTTACTTGTCAGCAAGTCAAGGCAGAGCATCAGTATCCAGCTGGGTTATTACAGCCACTTTCCATTCCAGAATGGAAGTGGGAGCATGTGACTATGGATTTCGTGGTGGGGTTACCACGGACCGTGAACAACTATGATGCAGTATGGGTTGTAGTTGATAGGCTCACCAAGAGTGCTCACTTTTTGCCTATTAACATCACTTACCCTCTTGAAAGATTGGCAAAACTATACACGGAGGAGATTGTGAGACTACATGGAGTCCCGATATCCATTGTCTCGGATAGGGATCCACGATTCACATCTCGATTTTGGCCCAAGTTTCAAGCATCTTTGGGTACTAAATTGAAGTTCAGCACGGCTTTTCATCCACAGACGGATGGACAATCCGAGCGAGTGATACAGATATTGGAGGACATGCTTAGGGCGTGTGTTCTGGAGTTCCAAGGAAGTTGGGACAAACATTTGGCTCTAGTCGAATTCGCCTATAACAACAGTTATCAGGCGAGTATCGGCATGCCTCCATACGAGGCATTGTATGGGAGGAAGTGCAGAACACCGTTATGTTGGGACGAGGTTGGCGAGGCCAAGCTCGAGGGGATTGAACTTGTTGAAATCACCAAGGCTAAGGTGAAAGTCATTCAGGATAGACTCAAGGCCGCCCAAGATCGGCAGAAGAGCTATGCCGACAAACGACGAAGGCCATTGGAATTCGAGGTCGGTGATAAGGTCTTCCTAAGGATTTCTCCTTGGAAGGGTATCATCCGATTTATATCGAGGGGAAAGCTTAACCCCCGATACATTGGTCCATTTGAAATCCTTGAAAGGATAGGGGCCGTAGCATACCGACTCAAGTTAACGCCGGAACTTGAGAAGATACACGATGTGTTCCATGTATCGATGCTCAAGAAATACGTGAGAGACCCGTCTCATATCCTTGAGAGGCCACCGGTAGAGATACGCGAAGACCTACAATATGCGGTGGAACCGGTGAAGATTGTGGGACAACAAGTGAAGAAATTGAGAAACAAGGAGATTCCTATGGTGAAAGTCCTTTGGAGGAGTGATCGGGTCGAGGAAGAAACATGGGAGACCGAGGTCTCGATGAGGGAGCAATACCCTTTTCTTTTCGACTAGGCACGTGGATTTCGGGGACGAAATCCCAAATAAGGGGGGGTGAACTTGTAACACCGTCCCCAAATGTATTTACTTTTATGTGAATATTATATTTTAACCTTATGGAATGGTTAAAGAAATTATGATGTTACGAATTTTTATTAATTCTTTCGCACGAATAGTAAATTCGCACGTGAGGCCCGCCCGGAAGCGGGGGCCGCCCGATATTCCCGGGACCACATAAATTATTCATCTTAGTCTAGATAATAATTATATGGTGGTGGATAATTCATTTGAACCATGGAAAGGTCCAGAGTTGACCGATTGGTCAAGAGAGGCCCAAATACCGGTATTGACGATTTTACCGATAAATGTCCGAAATTGAATTTCGGGGACTTATAAATTAAAGTTGGGGAATGAATATTCATTATAAGGTTCATGTTGGTTAAAGAGCATGTAAAATATTTTATTTGACCCGATAAAATAAAATATAACAAAAACTGTCCGAAAAATACAACTTTCGGGACCGATTGTACACTTCGGGACAAAAGGGGTTGACCTCCCACATGAGTGGGGGCCAACCCACGATTTTGGCCACAAAATGGAGGCTGATTTGTCTCAAACAAGGTCTGAAAACCTTGAGATGATGGGGGAGACCATTTTGACATCCTAAGGACCCCATCCTCACTCATTTGGCAAGAAAGCCAAAAAGAAAATCTCACCCCTCTCTCCCTCACCCCCCATCTCGGCCAGCACCCAAGAAAGAAGCAAGAGTAATTTTCCATCCTCCATTCTCCATCTTTGAAGAGAGCTCAAGCTTAAGGAGTCCAAAAGGAGGTCTTTGAGAAGGAAAAAGTGAGGAGAAAGTGAGAAGGGTTAAGGTAAAGACCTTATATTAACTTTTCCTTTATTTTTCTTCTATCATATGAGATATATATCATATGAAGACCCTTGAGAATGGTTCTACATGATTAAGTGTAGAATGATGGGTTGGAAAGTGGTTCTAGGTCCAAGAACGGATTTAGAAGTCAAAACGACCGGTTTACCGGAAAATAACCTTAGAGGTTATTTGTATTGATTAAGGTTTTATGATGTTAAAACCTTGTTAGGGACTTGACTTAAGCATTTTTGAACCTCGCCGGAGTTTCGCCGGAGTTGGTCAAAGTTCACCGGAGTTGGTCAAAGTTCCACCGGGAAGCGGAGAACGCGCTTAAGCTCACTCGAGGTGAGGATGACCGACTATATTGCTTATAATTATTGGGTTAATTTCATAAGATTACCTAAATGAATTATATGTGTTTGGCATGATGTATTTATAATAATAAAATGCCTAAATGAGATTTTTATTGTTCATAAGCAAAAATGCATAATATACAAATTTATGAATAAATTGTGTATGATTATGTGTTATGAATACAATGGTATAATAGTTGTGTAAACTATAAACTAAATTGTGATAAATATACTTTTACCTCATGTAAGGAAGTCATGGAAGGATAAAAGTGATATTTTGATATTAGAGCCAAGTTATACTTGAATGTGGAATTTAATTGAGATATTCAAATTATTATGAACTTAAGTTACATTTGGAGTAGGCCTTAAGGGTTACTCAAAATGGATGGAACCTAGACTAAGAAGTGGTTTAGGGATTAGTTGACGTGACTATGAGCCGAGCTCTAGCACGTGGTAGCATGACTATGAGCCGAGCTCTAGCAAACGTAGGGTGACTATGAGCCGAGCTCTAGCACAAATTAGTATGACTATGAGCCGAGCTCTAGCAAACGTAGGGTGACTATGAGCCGAGCTCTAGCACAATTTTAGTATATATGACTATGAGCCGAGCTCTAGCGAATGTAGTGTGACTATGAGCCGAGCTCTAGCACAATTTAGCATGACTATGAGCCGAGCTCTAGCATGAAGGAACATGAGTTAAGTACAAATGAATAACATCTTGGATTGAGGGTCTTGGAAATTGAAACTTTGATTATACTTAGTATAGTTGTCATTGTACTTGTCAAATGCTTCCAAGTACTGACCTCCCCTTCACGGGGGAGGCCACCTCACAGTTTCAGGTAGGGAGTAGAGCTTGCTACTACCGCTCGTTGCTTCGGGGAATTCAAGGAGGAAGGCGGGGTTCGTACTTCTCCTGTTTCTGTTTTGAAAACAATTTAAATAATGCTCATGGATATTATTTCGAATATTTATTTGGGGGCTTGTATGCCCGTGGTTGCCACGTGTGGCTTGAATATTTGTAATTATGTTTCCGCTGCTTAATTAAATATTTTACGTTATGATTGTTTATGGATGTACTATGTGTGAATGGTATTCAAGACGCCTAGTATAGTATGGATGAGTTGGACTGCGGTTGACTATTCGTACTGTACGGCGGGTTGTTGACGTGTCCGGTAGGTCCGGGGCGTGACACCCTCCCTCCCTCCCTCCCTCCCTCCCTCCCTCCCTCCCTCCCTCCCTCTTTTATCATCATCATCATCATCATCATCATCATCATCATCATCATCATCATCATCGCATTAAGAGTCGCTTAAAAATGTCACGTCACCGAAAAAAATAAATGACGTTTGAAAGTCACCAGAAAATCTCCGGAAAACAGTAGATGAACGCCCACTTAAATTGTAGTCTATATCATTTATAAAGTTTTGTAAAACTGTGTCACAATCGAAAAATGTCTATATACATACAAGTTAAGTTGTATGTGTACATAAACAAAAATATTACACACTGACAAAAAGTATACGGGCAAACAGTTTTTGTCTAAATATAGACAACTAATGTCTGCATACAAACATTGGTTTGCGTGTAAATCACATTATTTCGCGTACTTGTTTTTTGCAGATTTGTCAGGGTTAGTGTTGAGCTATCTAGTTTTGTTGATGACTAACCAACGTAATAAAACTATCCTGTGATCGCATTAATTCTGACTAACCATGCAGCTAGAACTGACACATGTTCTATCCCAGAGAACGATGGACAGAACTATTCTAAGTTCCGTGTGAATCATTACTGATGTGAGTTTTCTCGCACTTAAAAAGATTGTAATATAGTGGTGTAAATACGAGTATCGTCTCCACAGGGGCGGATACAAGGGAATTAAAGATGAACTAAATTCAGCGATTAAAAAACATAAAATAAAATGCAAGTGTGCGAGATTGATTGATTGAATAAAAAATAAATTAAACTAATGCGAATGAGCGAATAAAATAAATGCTTGGTTTCTTTCTAATTAACGAAGAAAGGAACATGGATTGATTCTAGGGTAACCAAATTTCTGGCAAAACATGCCTAATTACATGAAATTAATTTAATTGAGCCTAGCTAATCATTACTAAGTTCTTACCGCTCTCGCGGCATAGAGTACAATAATACAGGGGACCAGGCTGATCTCTTATGCGACAGGATCCTAAATTATTGCCAAGACGAGTGAGCTTACGACCCCTTAATCGCTACTAATCTCTAAGCGAACGATTAAGTGTGTGTGAATGTGTCCTAGAATAAACTAGATCTCTCTTAATTTATTCTACAAGCAATTGTAATTCTAGCGCACGTTCTAGGTTACAAAAGATATCAATTAAATTCTTCGAACACAAATTAAATGGCATTAATGCAATTAAACCGACAAGAATCTAGCCATCAATCATGATTAACCCCTTCATCAACCCCAATTACCTAATTAAACTACTCACAATTCATAATTGAAGAATCAACAGAATTGGGATGAATAGAAATAATTGTCATTAATAAAAAAGATGATCTTACAAATAATCCCTGGGTCTCGGAAGAAAACAGCGTAAAAACGATGTTAAATTCGACCCTAGGCCTCTCCATAATGTTCGTAACCCTTAAACTGGAGAATGAATGCCTTATTTATAGAAAACAGATGAGTTCGGGTCAAATCGGGATTGCAGGTGGAGCGCTCGGCGAGCGGGCAAGGAGCGCTCGGCGAGCGCACCTCCAAAATCATTAATTTCCGTAAGTACCTCCGCTCGGCGAACGCCCATCATGCGCTCGGCGAGTGCTCTCTCCAGAGACTTCTGCCACACCCGCTTGGTGAGCGGGCGTCGAGTGCTTGGGAATTGGTGAGCGCTCTTTCTAAAGAATTCTGCCACCCCCGCTTGGCGAGCGCCTGTCGAGCGCTTGGTGAGCGCTTCTTCTAACTTGACATTTTAGCCGTTTTTCTTCCCTTTTCGCTTGCGATTGCTTCCGTGATCAATCCAAAGCTAAGGTCTTTTCTTCATCAAATCTTCATCGTGAACCTCTTGGAGACCTTCAAAACTCTCGAATCTCTCTCGAATGCTCATCAACTCTTCTCGAATACTTCTCAAGTGCCGATGTCGAACTCTAATTTCCTGATTTTGACTCCAAACGACACAAAACTCGAACCAACGTCTCGTAAACATAACTTGAGCTAAAATTGAGACTTGCAACACCTTAAAGCCAGGACAACCATCAAATTCCAACTCCAACACGCATCAAATGTGTGTTCTAATACGAACTTATCAATTACCTAGATACATGATTGCATCTACGTGTCTATGTTGTGATGTGTTAATTGATATGCACATGATATACGTGGCACCAATTGAATCTGCTTCCATGCATGCTTGAACACCCATGTTAATAAGTTGACTTTTTAACTTAATATTTTATGGAAGGGATCTTTGCTCTCTATATGAATGATTTGTAATCAATGTGACCATAGCACACTAAGTATTCCCTTACGATTTAAAAAGACTATCCTTGTTGAAATATTAAATGAATATCTTTAAGGAAAGGTTCTTGTCAATGATTGCATGATTAAGCATCCACTTTGAAAAAGGAAATTGATTTACAAAAGGAAGCTCTATTTGTGATCATCACATTTTGTATATTTGGTCATTTACAAATGCTTCGTGGGTTAAGATATTAATAGTAGCTTGACTTACAAATGATTGCATAAATATTTTTTAGTCCGTTGCATGCCTACATGTTAAGAAATTAAGTGTTATTTCCTTATATCATGACTCGTGAATCATGAGCCAAATAATTGAGAACGAATCCATTGGAAGGAAAGTAATTCAAATCATATCAAGGCAAGTCCCAAGTCTGGAAGCTCAATGATTCAAAGGAAGACATACACCAACGGACAATTCAAAGTGGGCTATATATATACCGAAGACCAAAGAGAAGAAAGGGGGTGCTTGACCAAGAAAATACCAAGAGACATACACGAGATAAATACTAAGCCAAGGCACCTAAACATGCTCACAGAGTTATAGATAGAGTTCTTTTTCCTTTCTTATATTAGAATTGGGTTATTGAGGACTAGCTAAGTGTAGCTACCTCGGGTTGGGTTGTGTGTTGTGAGAGCTTTGTTGTAAAGCTGAGAGGCTCTCTACCTGCATAGTAGAGAAGCATAACTCTTCCTAGAGAGAATAGAGTTGGGGTGGCTCAAGGGCAGACTATGAGAGTTTATCATGTAACCACAAGGGCTTATTAGTGAAATTGTTAAAATTCCTCCGAGGGAGGTCGAGATTTTTTATCCCTTTGAGCCAAGGGATTTTCCTCGTTAAATCCTTGTGCACTTTACTATTTTACATTTCCCTATACCCCACACTAGAACTTGGCAAAAAACTACCACGGTTCCACTCACACACAATTCACTTATAGAATCGGAGAACCATGAAGTGGCTCTCTCCGACATTGACTGGGTTCTACCAATCCAAGAAGAATTAAATCAGTTTGAAAGAAATAAAGTATGGCATCTAAAACCAAGACCCAAGAACAAGACCGTGATAGGTCTCAAATGGGTATTCAATAACAAGCTTGATAAACATGGACAAATCACAAGGAACAAAGCGAGACTTGTTGTCAAAGGCTATAACCAACAAGAAGGGATAGATTTCAGCGAAACATTTGCACCGGTGGCAAGGCCAGAAGCAATCCGAATGCTCATAGCATTTGCGGCTCATATGGGTTTCACCCTCCACCAAATGGATGCCTAGACGGCCTTCTTGAATGGGTATCTGAAAGAAGAGGTATATGTAGAACAACCACCAGGCTTTGAAAATCCAGATTTTCCTAACCATATTTTTAAATTGGATAAAGCACTTTATGGTCTCAAACAAGTACCTTGTGCTTGGTATGAACGAATATCCAAATTTCTTTTGGAAAATGGTTTTGAAAGAGGAAAAAGAGATAAAACTGTTTTTCTAAAAATAAAAGATCAAGCCCTATTAGTTGTTCAAATCTATGTGGATGATATTATTTTTGGTGCTACTAACGATTCTCTTTGTGATGAGTTTTCTTCTCTTATGAGTTCTGAATTTGAGATGAGTGTGATGGGGGAATTAAAGCGAGCAAAGGAACTCAAATATCTCAACAAAAGTATCTTCAGGAACTACTAAAGAAGTATGGGATGAGTGAAGGCAAAACAATGACTACACCAATGGGAACAAATGACAGGTTGAACGCGGATGAAAAGGGAACGATCATAGACCAAAAGATATATCGAGGGATGATTAAGTCTCTACTGTACCTAATTTCTAGTAGACCTGAAATAATTTTCAGCGTAGGTCTATGTGCACGGTTCCAGGCTAATCCTAAGGAGTCCCATCTCAAAGCTGTGAAGAGGATTTTCAAATACCTCAAAGGAACTACTAATCTATGCTTATGGTATCCTCATAATGAAGATTTTAACCTTATTGCATATTCAGAGTCTGACTTTGTAGGTGATCTACTAATTAGAAAGAGCACCTCTGGAACAACTCACTTCTCAGGTCCCTGCCTAGTTTCATGGAGCTCCAAGAAACAAAATTATGTTGCTCTCTCAACGACCGAAGCTGAATATGTATCGGCCGCATCACTGTGGATCACGCAGCAAGTAAGCGACTACGGAGTTGACTTAAAGTGCACGCCAATCTTGTGCGACAATATAAGCGCATTTAGCATCTCAAAAGATCCGGTCATGCACTCTCGGACAAAACACATTCATATCCGGCACCACTTTTTGAGAGATTGCGTGGAAAAGGAGTCAATTAGACTGGAATATTGCAGCACTGATAAGAAAATTGCCGACATTTTTACAAAGCCCCTGGGAAGAGAAAGATTTGAAATTATCAGACTTGAGCTTGGTTTAATTAATTCTTAAAATTTGTGATTAATTCAACTCAATTTTTGCTCAACTATTTCCTAAATTTGGATCGTTTAATTTCCTTTTCTTCCGATCTGATAAGTAGATTACCTTCTTAAGGTGTAGAAAAATTGCTTTAAATAAGTAAATCTTATACCGATTTGGATGCATTCAAATAAAAAGGGGGGAGAGAGAGAATAAGAAATGCCT